GCTCAATTGAAATATATTTTCAAAAGGTTAATTATGTCATTTGAAGACAGCACTGTTTCGCTGTATCACAGCTTCTCAGTGTGACTAGACGTTCGAAAGCCTCAAGCCAGGATCGAAACCCGATACGCACACACACGCGCATACGTATATATATATATATATATATATATATATATATATATATATATATATATATATATATATATATAAAGCATGACCCGGCGTTGCCCGTGCTTGATTCAAAAATCGTACTTCTTGCCTGCGAATTTTTTCTAAGCTCTATACTGAACATTAAATCTGTTACGAAAAAAGAACTAAACAAAATGAACACAAAACGATCAGCTTTATAAATGGACTCGTAACTGGAAAAAACCGAATGAAAAAAGAATGTTAACAACAAATACTTTTTCACATCCAACCCAGTTCTGCGGAATAAGAACCAATGTTGAGTTTAAGCAAGCGAATGAGCCAATTGGTGTAAAGTGCCATGCAGATTTAAATTTTTCCCAATTGTGACGAATGCAGCTATCGATTTTTTTGCATGCTAGCATGCTAGTTAACATCCGTGTCAGTCAGCTGTTGGCTCTCACGCTGGCCAATAGAATCTTCCTGCCTATTCGTAACAGCCAGTTATTGGCTCTCACTCTGGGCAGTAGAAAATGGCCGCAAACTACATGAAAAGTGCTGCAGAAGCATGAAAAGTCGATTATTTCCACTATCGATGGGAGTTGGGAAATGCAAATCGGTCTTGGCCTTCCCGCTAATTTGGAGCATGTGCATGTATATTTTGGTGCAAATCCGTCAAAAATTGCGGCCGTGCATTCGTTACACACACACACACGCACATCCTGCCTTTTATAGATAGAGATATATACTCGAATACCAATCGAATCCATTACTTACGTGCTAATAACCTTGAGAAAAGTATGTATACTCTTCTCCCCAAAGCTATGTGTTAATCGCTGGAGAGACCTGGATGGAAACTGTTCTAGTGCAAAAAGAAATGGCAACCTTCTGCGCAAAAAATCTACCTCGTCAGCCATCTATCAAAAGATATATGATCGTCTAAGTGTGGCATATAAATGATTATATTTCTATCTAGGATAGATGGACAGATAATGAACAGATAGATTGATAGACAAATAGATAATGAAAAACTTTGACGTAGATATATAGATAATAAAGAGGCTGAGATCCATCGGTAGATAGATAAATAGATAGATAATCTATTTTCTATCTATTTATCTATTATCTGTCTATCATTGAAAGATTAGTAGATAGATAGTTAACATAGATAGATAGATAGATAGATAGATAGATAGATAGATAGAAACAGAATTAGATAGATAGATAGATAATCTATTTTCTATCTATCTATTATCTGTCTATCATAGAAAGATTAGTAGATAGATAGTTAACATAGATAGATAGATAGATAGAAACAGAATTAGATAGATAGATAGATAGATAGATAGATAGATAGATAGATAGATAGATAATCTATTTTCTTTGTATTTATCTATTATCTGTCTATCATAGAAAGATTAGTAGATAGATAATTAACATAGATAGATAGATAGATAGATAGATAGATAGATAGATAGATAGATAGATAGATAATCTATTTTCTATCTACTTATCTATTATCGGTCTATCATAGAAAGATAGGTATATTGATAATTAACATAGATAGATAGATAGATAGATAGATAGATAGATAGATAGATAGATAGAAACAAACAGAATTAGATAGATAGATAATCTATTTTCTATCTATTTATCTATTATCTGTCTATCATAGAAAAAATAGTAGATAGATAGATGGATAGATAGATAATGAAGAGGGTGAGATATAGAGCTACATAATGAAGAGGCTATGATAATTAGAGAGAATATCTATTATCTTTCTATTTATCTCTCTATTATCTATCTATCTGGCATAGATAATAAACATACTGAGATAGATAGATAGATAGATAGATAGATAGATAGATAGATATTAACTCCAATTATGTCATATGTAGTCCCACTATCCTCTTAGCGATGACAGAAAATCACGAAATAAAAGCGACCATATTTTCCAAGCTGGAAAATCCTAAGTTCGCAAAATCGCCATCCATTCTGTCACTTGATTTTTCACTCGCTTCTTTTTTTAAATTGTTCATTCATTCTTTAAGTCACTTATTCAATATTGTCAAATTAGTTCATCAATCTGATTACTTACTGTCACGGAAGAAAAGATGGCGTCATTGATAGTGTCAGTGAATAATTTCCCACGGAAAAGGGTACCGTTGTCGTTATCTTATGAAATCCATTTTGAGGATTGCCAAAACTGTTCTGGCCTTTTTATTCAACGTCCTTCGTCTTTGAATAGACGATTCTTCATTCTTTTTTTTTTTTTTTTTTTTTGTAATCTCTTTATTTCTCACTTCCCTCCCATTCTCTGTCTCTCTATTCTTTGTATTCTTTCTCTCACTGTTTTCGCTGTATAGCTCTTTTTCCCTCTCTGTTCTTTTTGTTTTTTTCTACAGCTATTCTTGTCTGAAGTTTGTTTCCTTTATTTGCCCCTGTATTTTTCAGTATCTTTTGACGGAGGCCGGTAGGTGCGACACTGATATCCGAAGACGGATTGGGACAGCCAAGGACGCATTCCAAAATCTGGGCAGAGTACCGCGAGACAGGAGGATGTCTTTGGTGATAAAGAAAAGAGTACTGAACTGTTATGTAACATATGTCCTCCAATACGGCAGCGAATGTTGGACGGTCTCCTCAAAAGATGAAGTGACTCGAAACAGCGGAGATGTTCTACGTGACATCTCTCCTCCTATACGACAGCGAATGTTGGACAGGTCTCCTCAAAAGATGAAGAGACTCGAAACAGCGGAGTTGTTCTACAGAATGATGCTAAGGATACCATGGACCGAGCGTGTGAGCAACGATGAGCACTTGGAGAGGATGAAAACAAGGAGGAAGCCTATACTTAACATCAGGAAGAGGCAGATGGAATTCCTGGGGCACGTAACGAGAAAGGATTGCTAGGAGAATCTGATACTCACAAGAAAAGAAGGAAAAGAGAGACAAGAGAAAGCAACGCATGACATACCTGGCAGGCTTAAGCAAATGGATGACAGAACTTGGACTGGAGGAGTTGGCAGTGGCACCAAACTTACTGGGAGCTACAAGGGATAGGGCAAAGTGGAGAGTCATGATCTCCTACGTCTTGAAAGGACAGGGCATATAAGAAAAAAGATTTTTCACTCTATTCTTCTCTATTTAACTTTATCCCTGTGTTCGCATTTTTCGTGATTTTTTTTCTTTCTATTTTCATTTTGTTCGTTCCTTCTTTTTTCATTTATTTTTCTTTCTTCATTTTTTTTTTTTTTTTTGTGTTTTCTTTCTTTTTTTTCATTTCGGTCGTTATCTCTTTCTTCAATTTTCTGACTTTCTTTTTTTCTTCATTGTTTGGTTCTTTCTTCATTTCCTTCTTTCTTCATTGATTTCGTTCTTTCTTTCTTTTTTTGTTTGCATGTTTTGTATTTATTCTTTATTTGTTACTTGCTGGCGGATATTTTTATTTTTGTCTTTTTATCTCATTTAATATTTAATTTCTTTCTTTCTTTTTTTATGTCCTTTTAATCATTTGTTATTTATTTCTATTTAATTTACATTTTTTTTTCTTATTGTTATGCATTCTTAATTCCGTCCACAAATATATTTTTTATATTTCTTTCTTTTTTTCTTTACTATCATTTCGTCTTCCGAACGCCATTTTGTCGTTCTTTCTTTTAATTTTTTTCTTAATATCTTCCTGTCGGCCTTTGTTTCTTACTTTCTAAATTGCTCTCCATTTTCTTTCTTTCTCTTTTTATTGATTTCTTTTTAATTTATTCGTCCTTCCTTTTGTACTGTATTTGGTCATATGACATTTCATTAAAGCAGAATTAATCACATGAGAGCATTATCCTTTACTAGCAGCATGGCCCGGCGTTGCCCGTGCTTGATTCAAAAATGGTACGACTCATTGAAGCAATCGCTATCACTTGACTTAAAATATTTTTGCCTTTCCTTGCCTTTAAAGGGGTGCCCTTTGCCGTGCTGATGTTGCTACATGCCTTACTTCTTGCCTAACTCACACTGCACACGCACATACATATATATATATATATATATATATATATATATATATATATATATAAGGGCAGCATGACCCGGCGTTGCCCGTGCTTGATACAAAAATCGTAATTCTTGCCTGCGAATTTTTTCTAAGCTCTATACTAAACATTAAATCTGTTACGAAAAAAGAACTAAACAAAATGAACACAAAACGATCAGCTTTAAAAAAGGACTCGTAACTGGAAAAAACGAATGAAAAAAGAATGTTAACAACAAATACATTTTCACACCCAACCCAGTTCTGCGGAATCAGAATCAACGTTGAGTTTAAGCAAGTGAATGAGCCAATTGGAGTAAAGTGCCATGCAGATTTAAATTTTTCCCAATTGTGTCGAATGCAACTATCGATTTTTTTTGCATGCTAGCATGCTACTTAACATTCGTGTCAGTCAGCTGTTGGCTCTCACGCTGGCCAATAGAATCTTCCTGCCTATTCGTGGCAGCCAGCTATAGGCTCTCACTCTGGACAGTAGAAAATGACCGCAAACTACATGAAAACTGCCGTAGAAGCATGAAAAAATTTATATTTCCACTATCGATGGGAGTTGGAGAATTCAAAGTCTGTCTTGGCCTTTTAGATAACTTGGAGCATATGCATGTAAATTTTGGTGCAAATCCGTCGAAAATTGCGGGCGTGCATTCGTTACACACACACACACACACATACACACACACATCCTTTATCTTTCTTTGTTTCTTTTTTTTCCTGCTTTGTTTCTTTCTTCCTCTATTTCGTTTTTTCCAAAATAGTAAGAAGAAAAAATCTTATATAAAATAAAAGGAAGAAGAAAGACAGATTGCATAAAAATGGGGGGGAATGAAAAAGAATGGCAAATTATAATTTGCCATTCTTTTTTTCTTTCTTTGTTTTTTTTTCAAATTTACTTGTCTGTCTTTCCTTCTTTCTTTCTGATTTTGTTGTTTTGTCTTCTTTTCCTTTCTTTGTTTCATTCTTTTTTTCTTTCTGTTTTAGACTAGTCGATACTTTAACTGATTTTTATATATTGAAATACTTGCTTTCATTTTTCTTCCCTATTTTTATTCTTTCTTTCTTCTTCCATTTTTTATTTTATATAAGTTTTTTCATTTTACTATTCTTATATATTTGAACAGTTGAATATTTTAAACTTGGTTCCACGGCTCTTCAGTTTTTAATTTTCAATCATTCCTTTTTCTTTTTTTCTTTCTTTCTTTCTTATATTCATTTATATATTTATTCGTTCTTTTTTCTTTCCATGTTTTTCATTTATCTTATATTTATGCATTTGACCATTTTTTTATATTCGTTCTTCCTGTTTCGTATTTTCTCTCCATTTATATTTTGTTTCTATTTGTTAGAATTTTTCTTTCTTTCTTTCTTACAATTTTATAGAAACATTTTATCTGAAAACTTCCTTATTTTTGTTCTTATTTCAAATATTCTTGCTTTTCTCTCTCTTTCCTTCATTTTTTTCTTTCTTGTTTTAAAACATTTTTTTTCCTTTTTTAGTCTTTCTTTCTTCCTTTTTACGAAAATGTTCTTTGAATCTTTCGTTTTTCTCTCTTTTTTCTTTCTTTTTTTGAACCTTTCTTTCTTTGAGTCTTTACTTCTTTCTTTCTGTCGAAACTGTCTTTCTTTGAGTGTTTCCTTTCTTTTTTTGTAACATATTCTTTCTTTCAGTCTCTCCTTCTTTCTTTCTCTTTTTCGAAGATTTCTTTCTTTGAGCTTTTCCTTTTTCCTTTCTTTCTTTCTATTTGATACAGGCCTATGTTTAACTGAATTTTATATAGTGCAACACTACCTTTTATTTCCTTGCTCCATTCTATATTTTTAAATCCCCATTCATTCTTTCTTTCTTTCCTTCTTTCTTTCTTTCTTTCTTTCTTTCTTTCTCCTGATCACCGTAGTCTTCCTCCTCTTTTCAAATATGCTTTTCTTTCTTTCTTTCTTTCTTTATTTCTTTCTTCATTTATTCCTCCATTCATACTTTTATTCATTCTTTCTTTCTTTCCAAGTTTTGTATTTATTTATCTTATATTTATTCATTTGATCATTTTTTACATTCGTTCTTGCTGTTTCGTATTTTTTCTCCATTTATTTGTTTCTATTTTTCTATAATTCTTTTTGTTTTTCTTTTATATTTAAACATTGCTTATTACTTTCGTTCTTTTCTTGATTTTTACACTTTCTTTTTTTTTGTTTGTTTCTTTCTTTCTATCAAATTTAGGCAAACATTTTATCTGAAATCTTTCTTATTTTTGTTCTTATTTCAAATATTCTTCCTTTTCTCTCTCTTTCTTTCATTCTTTCTCTCTTTTTTTTCTTTCTTTGTGTCTTTATTTCTTTCTTTCTTTCTTTCTTTCTTTCTTTGAATATTTCCTTCTTTCTTTCTTTCTTTTTCTATCTTTCTTTTATCTATTGTTCAAATTTCAAATATTCTTCCTTTTCTCTCTTTCTTTTCATTCTTTCTTTTTTTTTCTTTTCTTTTGTGTCTTTTTTCTTTCTTTTTTCTTTTGAATAAATTTTTTTTTTCTTTCTATCAAATTTAGGCAAACATTTTATCTTATTTTTTATTTTTGTTCTTATTTCAAATATTCTTTCTTTTCTCTCTCTTTCTTTCATTCTTTCTTTCTTGTTTTCTTTCTTTGTGTCTTTATTTATTTCTTCCTTTTTTTCTTTTAGTCTTTCTTTCTTTGAATATTTCCTTCTTTCTTTCTTTCTTTTTATCAATTTTAGGTAAACTTTTTTCTCTGAAAACTTTCATTAATTTTTATTTTTCTTTCTTTCTTTACTTCTTTCTTTTGGAAATCATTTCTTTCTTTGAGTTTTTTCTTCTTTCTTTCTTTTTTCCAAATTTTTGAGTAGTTCCTTCTTTTTTGTACTTTGTTTCTTTCTTTGGGTATCTCCTTCCTTCCTATTTTCTTTCTTTCTGTCTTTTCTTCTTTCTTCATTTCTTTGGGTTTTTTTTGGTTTTTTTCGAAACTGTCTTTCTTTTTTTGATTCTTTCCTTCTTTCTTTCATTTTTAAAATTTTCCTTCTGTATTAAAGCTCTTCTTTCTTTTTTCTTTCTTTGAGTATTTCTTTCATTCTTTCTTTTTCTTTCGAAATATTTGGTCTTATATTGAGCCTTTCTTCCTTCCTTTTTTTCTTTCGAAACCTTACTTATAATGAGTCTTTCTTGCTTTCTTCCTTTTTTGTCGAAACCGTCTATCTTTCTTAAATTATTTCCTTTATAATTTACTGTCTTTCTTTTTCTCTTTCTTTCTTACGTTTAATAATATCAATAAATCTTTTTTTTTATTATTTGTGAGGTACGGTGACCGTTTATAATAAAGTATAACTCAAGACTACAAAGTTGAAATAAAACAGTATTTAATTACAACCGTAAATAAATACTTAACAAGAAAAAAAACAAAAATAAAGATCATTAAAAAAAAAAAAAACAAAGATCATTAACCACTTCAGTGAATACCTTCATAGTAGCGCGCCTCGGCTTAACGTCAGATAAATTCTGTATCAAAACCTAAATAATTGACGCACAATAGTTGATACTAATTCGACTTGATAGTTCCACTAAATAGTCACTTCAGTCAGTAGCCTGACAGCGCTATTTATAAATCTGGCGGGAAACATATTTTCATAAGTTCAGAGTGTCACGTTCGAATCTCGGTGTCGGTAGTTACTCATTTTTTTTCTCATATGACATTAACGTATCCCAATCTTTCTTTTTTCTTTTTTTTTTCATCCAATATATATTTTCGATGCTCCATGTTCTCTCTTTCAATCCTCTCAGAATTTGTTTCTTTGCCACCATCTTCTTTCCGTTTCCGATCAAACGTTCCCATTGTTCTTTTTTTTTTTTGCCACCCTTGCAATTGTTTTTTTTTTAAAGATCACTTTCGTTCTTCTAAAATCCATGACTTTCTTTTACATTATATCAAATCTTTCTTTTCGCTTTCTATAATTATATCGCTTTTATCATTGATCGTTTCCCGCTATTCTCTTTGCTTCGAACCTCTTCGATTCCTTCCCCTTAAACAGGCGTTTTTTTTTTTCTGTTTGTCACTATTTTAGCATGAGATTATCTCGACTTCCTGCGGGCTCGTGTTCAGGTGCGACCTTCTTTTTATTCATCTAATTCGCTCTACCTGAAAAAAAGGTATTGTTGAGTGCTTGTGATGAAAATCGACATTTCTCTCACCTAAAATAGGTTGTATATTTTCCGCTATTTCTATTGCAAATTGAACAACGACGCCAAAAAAAGATGATTATCAGTGGTAATGTCCATATCACCACTCTGATGATTGCTCATGTGAGCCGAAAAATTAGATCCACGACCAATATAATAAAAATATATCTAAATGTTAGACAGTTTTGGCCTTTAATTTCTCTTGAAACTAAAGACATCATACGACTCTTGGAACTGCTCATAATAGACATTCGTTGTCTGTTATATCTAACAATATATGTTTGAAAACTGTATATATATATATATATATATATATATATATATATATATATATATATATATATATATATATATCATGAATTATTCAAATAAAAAACAAATACAAAGGTTAATAATTTAATTGGCGAGAAATCCATCGTCGCGAACAATTCAAATAATATACAAAAACCCCGAACCTGTTTATGAATGAAAAGATCCTTGTTTCTATAAATTCATGTTGCATGAGTTCTTATTATTTTTACAAGCTTTCGTCTGTTCATACAGACATCCTCAGGTATGGAATAGATTTTGTTCTTGTTTTTTCTCTCAGTAATAAGAGGACAACGAAAATATATGTACTGTTGTAAATCTATTCCATGTGGACACCGAAGTCAACAACAAAGCACCAACTGTCCGTTTCATGCTCCACCGCAACCTTCAGGCCTGATGATTGAGGTGATGCATAAGACAGAATATCGCCGCTTGCTGCTGTCCTAATTTTCAACGCAGACGCACGTACACACACATACACACACACACGCACACATATATATATATATATATATATATATATATATATATATATATATATATATATATATATATAGCAATTCGGATGGAGCAATCGATGGAGTTTCGAATTCCAGTCGAATCCATTAAATTTCACTTACGTGCTAATACCCTTAGAAAACGTATTAATCATCTTCTTCACGACAGATTGGATTCTATAGCCATGTATGGCAACTGGTCTAGGAAAAGGATAATTCTCAATTCAAAACCTGCGGACGGTCATTTGGGGACGTCTTGCACCAGCCCTCTGTATTCGGTCCTTCAAAAAAGTGTTTTTTGGTTCTGCACAAATCCTTTACCACAATAATAAAATCATATGTGCCGGTGTCTGCCCTAGAAACTGAGCTGATTGACCCTCATACGTCGAATACAACGGAGAGTCTACCATATATATATATATATATATATATATATATATATATATATATATATATATATACACACACACACATTCTTACATACGTGTGACCACATCGACTGTATTAGAGCTCTTTTTATTTTTCATACTTGTACATACATGTACATTTCCATCGATATACACATGTGCTTGCACACAAACACACATACATCACACACACACAGGTGTATATCTATAGGCATATATATGTATACATATATGTAGAAGAATGATAAATGATAAAAGCTCTAATACATGTTTATGCCTGAGTGGATATATATGCGGGGACACGTATATAAGAATGTGTATATGTAATACGCGTGGAAGTATGTATATACTGTGTCGTCACATGGGCGACGCTTTCATAACTTTTAGGAATACGTTATGAAAGCGTCGCCCATGTTTGACGACAGCGTGACCATGTTAGACGGAAGGCTGATCATTTTAAAAATTTTCAGTTATTTGTTCTGAATAAGACTTGTGTTTTTATGTCCATCGTATTTGTCATATTGAACTGAATTGTATTTTGATGAATATTGTCTTGAAAAAGGTTTAATAAACCGAAACGTCAGACGTCGACATTTCTTTCATTTAACTACATTTAAGGATTTTGTTTGTTTTTTTTTCTTCATATATATATATATATATATATATATATATATATATATATATATATATATATATATATCGTTGAACAAGACTGACAATTTAGTTTTATTGAGTTCTCACACCTGTTTTTCTTGTCTGCGCACAAGTGTTTTATTTTCCAGTAATTTATAAATGTAAATATTGATGGAATGTTAAACATTATCGATTTTCTTATCAATCTGAGCCTATTCACACCTGTATCTCAGCATTCGATATCATTGTCGCTGTCTGAGATCTATGCTGTGGTCCGATGTCGTGAATTAAAATAATAATAAACATTTTCATCCTGCCGATGACGAAGGTCGAGGACGCCATTTTCCATATATGGAATAAGAAAATCACTTCAACGCTGTGCTCTTCTTTTGGTTGTCTTCCTTTCTTTTCTTTTCTTTTCTTTCTTTCCTTTTTTTCTTTCCTTTTTGGACATCACAGCTTCCCAACACATCAACGTCTATATTCGTTCTGCTTGATTTTAGATGTGATTATGATAATATTCAATTATTCGTATGTATTACGGGCAAATATCTGTTGTTAACAGGAAATATCTGTGCGAATGTGTTTATATATTTGCAGATTTTTTCCTTTTAACATATTTATATGTTTTTTTCGTCCAATAGTATTTTTTTAAAATGTGACGTGATGATTTTTTTTTCGAAATCTCTTCTACAAGACGTAAGGAAACCATTTATACGATGATTGAGAATTCGACATTATGTCCAGTCGGCGACTCACTGTCGAATCGGCCATATACAGTAAGGTATTCTCTGATTGGTCAATAATTTACAATTCCGTTCTAATGGTTTTTTATCGCCCTCACTTTTCGCTTATGGAACTCACGTCCAGCTTCTTGCATTCCTACCAACTAAGATCTTCAAATATTTAAACGCAATATCAAATCGTCAATTTCCTGTCTCATCGAATCAAGTTCTTTTTAGTGTTCTTATTCCGCAAGCATTGTTTTCAGTCTCCTGTGCTCTCAGTGTCACATCGAGCCTTATCATTATTATTATTATTATTATTATTATTATTTTATTTCCTTTGATTTCTGGTGTGTACACATTTCGTTCCGGACCCCGCCCAGTGACCTAAGGTTAGAAATGGCATCATGACATTTTCCACTGACAAAAAAAACAAAAAAAAAAAACAAAAAAAAAACATATTTTACACAGAAAATGACCTTCGTAAAGTGTGGGCTGTATACGTGAGAACATTTTTTTGTATTTCTTTAAGGCATAGGCTACCAGGAATCCCTTCAATTAGTTTACTGGAATCTTTTTCCAACCAATCCTAGGACCCCAACTGCAACAGGGATTGTTGACGTTTCCATGTGCCACATTTTTGAGATTCCATTTCAAGGTCCTTTTATTTTGATTATTATTATTATTATTATTATTATTTATTATTTTCTTTTGATTTCTGGCGTTTACATTTTTCTTTTCGGGTCCCGCCTGATCCTAAGGTTAGAAATGGCATCATGACACTTTCCACTGACAAAAAAAAAAAAATACATAGATAAAGTCCTTCGTAAAGTGTAGGCTGTACTTGTCAGAACATTTTTTGTATCTCCTTGAGGCATGGACTGCCAGGAATCCCTTCAATTAGTCTACTGCAATCATTTCCAACCAGTCCTAGGGCTCCAACTACAACAGGGATTGTTGTTGTTCCCATATGCCACATTTTCGAGATTTCTATTTCAATTTCTTCTTCTTATTATTATTATTTGCATGTTATATTTCCTGCTTTGTATCCTGTAGAACCGGGTACAAACTATTATGAAATCGAAGAATTGTCATTCCTTCTCTCACGGGGCCAAGAGTTCCGATTACTATTGACACACTCTCAGTCCTTTTTCCTCACATCGTGTTAATCTCCATCTTCAGGTCGTTCTATTTGGACAGTTTCTCGATAATTTTCTTGGAGGTACTACTACTAATAATAATAATAATTATTATTATTATTTACTTTGGTTTTTTATGTATACTTCTAGTTAGCAAGCATTGGTCCTGTGCAGCAAGAATAAAACCTTCGTTTTCAGCTTTTAACCCTGCACTACGCAGCAACTGATAGGTACGGGGTTTGTCTACATCAGCTTGTTTGGTACGGGCCAGAGTATTGACCGTGAAGCGGTTTTTCTTGCGAAAGATTCTGTATCTGGTCGGTTGCATTTGCCATTGCTTTCCTTTTTAAGTATTGTGCAGCTTCAGTCGGTGTATTGTGATTTACTTGTATTCCTGCACCCATTTGAAACTCCATTTTGAATTTGCTGGCTTCCTTTATTACTGAATACAGTCACTTACTACTTTCATCTTCTTTGACACAGATCATCATCCAGTCTTCTGTAGTTTCTATGACTCTTTGAAGGCCAATATTGTTGTTGTTATTATTATTATTATTATTATTACTATCATTATTATTATTATTATAATTATTATTACTATCATTATTATTATTATTATTATTATTATTATTATTATTATTATTTTTTTTTTTTTTTGATTTCTGGCGTTTACACATTTCTTTCCGGGACCCGCCCAGGGACCTAAGGTTAGAAATGGCGTCATGACACTTTCCACTGACAAAAAAAAAATAAATAAATAAATAAATAAAAATAAAATAAAATAAGATAAATTAAATTACATAGATAAAGCCCTTCGTAAGGTGTAGGCTGTACTTGTCAGAACAATTTTTTGTATCTCCTTGAGGCATGGGCTTCCAGGAATCCCTTCAATTAGTCTACTGCAATCTTTTCCAACCAGTCCTAGGGCTCCAACTACAACAGGGATTGTTGATGTTCCCATATGCCACATTTTCGAGATTTCTATTTCAAGGTCCTTGTACTTTGACAACTTTTTGAATATCTTCAAAGATACATTGCAGTCAGCAGGGACAGCCATATCAATAAGGAGGCACCGTTTTTGTTTGTGGTCTTTAATAACAATATCTGGGCGGGTGGTTTTGATTGTTCTGTCAGTGTGTATTGTGTAGTCCCATAGAATTGTAACAGGTCCTATTTATTATTATTACTATTATTATTACTATTATTATTATTATTACTATTTCTATTATTATTATTATTATTATTATTAACAGGATACACACGATCAAATAAGATTTTTTGTCCGCCTAGCTACTTACTGAACGTTCGCAATTTTGATATCAACATAGATACACATACAAATTTCTTGCTATCATTATCATCATCATTACTATTGATATTATCGTTTTCCTTGATATCACATTATCCTCCACATTACAATAAAATAGCAAATACTCAAACTAGTTCCACACAGACACACACATTTAATCCTTATGCATTGAACATTTTGGGAGTGCTACTAAGGTTCAATAAAACTGAATCGATGGCAATATAACTATGTAACATTTTCTTGTCATGAACTACGTAACGCTTTGCAATCAGCTGCCACACTGAAATATGGCACTCCCAACTTTTGACAACAAATTCTGATGGTCATCAATTTTTGACACAAAAATTACAATGCCTGATCACGTGATCATAATCAACTAATCAAAGTGGATTTTAAACAGGTGTCATTACGAGCCACATTTTCTGCATAAAACGGAAAGAATTCCCGAACTTTAGTCAGACGAGAAAAAGATCATTGCACAGACACACGTCTCTCCATCATAATTTGAGCTTTTTGAAACAGGTAAATTTGCGCCTAAATATTCTTAAAGACTCTAATTGCATTTTCAACTTCTTATAAAGTGAACCTTGGCCTCTGAGTGTTGCTTTCAATGTTCACTTATTTACACACGCTATCTCTGATATTGAGTACTTTATCCCATAAATATAGCAGACCTTAAAACTATGTTTCTTCATATATATATATATATATATATATATATATATATATATATATATATATATATATATATATATATATATATATATATATATATATGTGTGTGTGTCATTGTTTGTGTATATATGACATCTATCTTTAGATCCGGTTTCTCGCTGCCCAGTGGACTCAGGTTCGAATCCTGCTGGAGGTCACATATTTTCCTTTAATAAAATTTCTCGAATAGTCAGGCTGGTGAAAATGAATAAATTTACAATTTAATAAGTCCACCCAAATATGAGTATCGACAAAATGAGGCATTACTTAGATTACGTTTGGTTACGAAACTTAACATATATATATATATATATATATATATATATATATATATATATATATATATATATATATATATATATATATATATATGTGTGTGTGTGTGTGTGTGTGTGTGTGTGTGTGTGTGAAAATATATAGAAAATAGGAAGGAACTAGTTAGGTAAATAATCCAAAGTCCCTTAGTATTTTAGTTATTATTTTTAAAAAATAGTTCTCGATACAAAAGAGCATAAATGATTTATTTAAAAATATGATTCCAAAACGCTACATAAGAAGTCTCATGTTTCAAAACAAGAGCCGAAAACTTCAGTATAATTATTTAAATTAAACTGAGTTAATTTCGCTTGAAGATGGAACAGAGCTTATTTTAACTCAATTTAATTTAAATAATTATATTGAAGTTTTCGGCTCTTGTTTTGAAACATGAGACTTCTTATGTAGCGTTTTGGAATCATATTTTTAAATAAATAATTATATATATATATGTATGTATATATATATATATATATAAACAATATATGAGCTAGTAGAAAAGAAATAGTGATCTACTTGGGGTGGGCTGATTTAAAATCATAATGACATCAACGGCCCTAATACATGCATACATACATACATACGCACACTCATCTCTCTCTCTCTCTCTCTCTATATATATATATATATATATATATGCACAAACACACACACAGACACAAAGACACACACACACACACACGCGCGCGCACACACACACACACACCCATATATATATATATATATATATATATATATGTATACACTACAGTTCGAAATTTTGAAGCCACTCCCAGAAAAAATACCATGGGATGAACTAGATATATGAGTAAAAAAATGAAGATGATCTGTTTGAGTCATTGAAAAACGAATGAAATTAATTATCAAACTTATACTTTGAGAAATTTTTGCAATGAATCCAAAAACATTGTACTGTAGTACTCAGTGTTAAATATATTTTTGACGAGATCAAAATTGAATCATATTTTTTTCTTTTTGTCATAATAAAATTTCTAATAAAAAATCATGCCTCACTTCTTTTTTTTTTTTTTTTTAACTATGTTTAATAATCATCTCTTATTTAAAGTACAAAACAACTACTCCGTAGTCCAATTTAAAAATAACCAGAGTTTGACACAAACTATTGAACTGTATATATATATATTAAGCAAAAATCTCTGGTGTAATCTACGGACAACTTGCCAAAACCTAAAACTTTTATCCAGATACAATCTCGAATAAAAATGGCAATATGCTGAAAAAAAGAAAAAGAACAATATAGCCTCAAGGCAAACGTAACTACACACTAAAGTGCTCAAAGTCTATATTTCCTAGACAGAGGGAAAACGCTTAACAAGTTTAAATCCTATGAAAGGATGGCTGTTGTCGTAAGCCGGGTTTCACGCTCACGTGAACCTCGGACAAAGTGAAGAAACAAAAAGATCTTTGATTATTCGGTTCGTCGGATCAGGTAATGGAATTTAGTTTATTACCCAAATTATCCTAAAAAAAATACTAACGCATTTTCCCTATAGACAATTTTGTCTTTGAGTCCAACCTGAACAAACCGAGACCAACAGACAGCGGCAAAATGCGTC